CATGTTCTTAAAGGTTTCTATAGCAAAAGGAAAAGAACATCTTGCTCCAGTCATGACTCTTCTACTTGGCATGGTTATTTTACAGGATGAAGTCATAAAACAAAATGGAGTCACATTGGCTCCTACTATCACACAACTAAAAAATAAATATTTAAAAAATATCTTTTGGTCACAGCAGTGAAAAACTGACTAAAACAATTGAACTGTCTATTTCTTCCTTCAATTCTGTCATTTTTCACTTTTTATATTTTGGGAGTCTTTTGTTTATAATTGCTGCATCTTCTTAATTAATTACATAAGGTTATTCATATTTTCTATTTCTCTATTGGTTTTGGCATTTTGCGTCTTGTTCAGTTCAAAGCTGTCAAATTAATTGGCATCAGGTTTTTCCTAACATTCTCTCATTTTTCTTTTACTACTATAGGATGTGTAATGGTGTCCACTCTTTCCTGATATCGTTAGATGCTACCTTCTACTTTCTTTGATGATCAATGTAGTCAGGAACTCATCAATTTTATTAATTTTTAAGATAATATTGTTTAATTTCCATCATTATTCCTACTTTTTCATTTAATTGATTTTTACTCTTAGAGTAATTACTTTCATTCTTCTACTGTCTTTGAAATGTATTTCTTCAGGTTCTTATTATCAATGCTTAGGTCACTGATTTTCTATTGAAAATCTTTAAAAATGCATATTTTCTTCAAAGAATGATTATGGTTACATATCATAAGTTCCAATATTATAATTAACTATGTTGTTTATTTAATTGAATATCATCATTATTAAATTAAATTATGTTCTTATTTTCTCTGTGATTTATTGTCCAATGACTGGGTTCCTTATAAGTATGTTAGTTTCTTCCCAAATATTTTTTTAAAACTTATCTTATTCGTAGTCCTTTAACTTATTGTGAGCAGGGAATAGTCTCCATTTGTCTCATATAGAGTATTAACTCTATATGGTGTCAAAGCCTTAAATTTGTTGAGACTTGGTTTTTGTCTCAACATGTAGTCAGTCTTTGTGAATGTTCCCTGAGTACCTAAAGATTTATACTCTGAATGCTAAATCAATTTTAATTAAGTTGGTGGATAGTGTTATTCAGATCTCCTCTATCTTTACTGATTTTTCTATATAAGGCTTAAATCAATTATCAAGAGAAGCATGTTAAAATCCTGACTATAATGTGCATTGGTCTTTTCTCCTTTAATATATATATCCCTGTCAGATTTTGACTCATAAATTTTACAATTCTAAGTTCAAATATATTTAGGATTATTATGTGTCTTTTTTTTGTTTTTTGTTTTTGTTTTTTGCAGTGCTGGGGACCAAACTCAGGGCATCACACATGCTAGGTAAATGCTCTACTACTGAGGGACACACCCAGGCCCTATTATATTACATTGTATTATATTAATCTTCCTGGTGATTTTTCCCATTTATCTTGATGGCATGACATTTTTGTACAATTCTTTGTCTCAAAGTCTACTACAACTGATATTAAGATAAGCACTCCATGTTTCCTATGATTGGTGTTCATACCATATATTTTTTTTATTTAATTCTGCTTTAATCTATTTGGGTTTCTATATTTAAAATATGTCTCTTATAAGTGTGCCTCTAATCCCAGTGACCCAAAACACTGAGGCAGGAGGATTGCAAGTTTGAGATCAGCTTCAGCAACTTAGGGAGAAGGACTGTAGCTTAGTACTAAACAGCCCTTGGGTTCAATCACCAGTATAAAAAAAATTGTTTGATCTGGCTTTTTTCATCCAATATGATGGCCCCTTTTAATTTAAACATTTCGTCCACTTAACTTTAACGTGACCATTTAGATCTTTGTGTTTAAGTCCACGTCTTCCTATTCTTTCTGTTGATCCCTCTTCGTGTTACTTCACTTGACAGGTTTTACCTGTCGTGATGTCTTTTGATTATCTGCATATTTACCAATATCCAGTTTTTCCTCTTCTATTGAATTTTTAATTATACCTCTTCATTTCATTTTATTCTTTTTCTATAATGTATTCATTGGATATTTGATTTCTTCATTCATAATCAGTTCCTTAAACCTTATAACGCCATGAGATTGTCCAAATAGGTGGCAAATGCAAAGTTACTAAAAGAAGGGTCAAGACCTAACTATAAGGTACTCTACCAAAAAGGGGTGGGAGGCTTGGCAGAGTCAGCAAAAGAGTTTAGAAGCCTTGAGCAGAGAAATGCAGGCAGAGCTAGAGACTGGTGTTGGAAGAAAAGGCAGACAGGAGTTTCAAAACAGAGGTGATTGTGGAGAGGTGTCCTGGATAGACTTTCCAAAGATATACAAATGGCTATGAGAACATGAAAAGATGCTCAACACCACTAACCATCAGGGAAATTCAAATCAAAACAACTACAATAAGATACTACTTTACACTAATCAGGATGGTTGTTATTAAAAAAGAAAATAACCAAAAGGTGGAAGCATCCTGAATGTCCATCCTTGGAAGATTGAGCAAGAAAATGTGGTGCATACATATGATAGACTATTGTTCAGTTTTAAAAAGGTATGACACTATAGTAAGTGAAATCTGTCAGACATGAAAGGATAAAAATTATACCTAGAATTGTCAAATCCATAGAGACAGAAAGTAGAATGGTGGTTACTAGGACCTTGCTAGAGGAGGGAATGGGGAGTTCATGTTCAATGTGTACACGGTTTCAGTTTGACATGATGCAAAAGTTCTGGGTGTGAATGGTGGTGATGGCCACACACCAATGTGGAGGGACTAAATGTCACTGCAATATACACTTGAAAATGGTTCAAGTGGCACATTGTATGTTCTATATGTTTAAACCATGATAAAAAGAATACAGTGCCAGCAAGGGCACTGCATTCCTTATTTTACTAATGAGAAAAACAAGACAGAGATCAGGGAACTTCCTCAAAGTTGCAGAACTAAGGAGGAATACAATTTTCATACTAGAATTTGCACACACAATAGCGAGTTCAAAGCCTATGCTCTGAACCATTAAGTATATGGTGTCTTTTTTCAAAGACATCTATTATGGTAATGTATATAAAAATGGAAAAATAGAAATAATTTAAATATCCAAAAATATGTCTCCATGTGGATCATCCATTTAGTGTAGTATAAAACCATTAAATATGTTTCTGAACATTTTTCTAATGGCATGGATAAATAAATAATTTACTTATACATTCAACGGGGGAAATACCAATATATAATAATGAACTTACAGTATGATTTCAGGGTTTTTTTTTTTTAATTATATACATTTAGTTTAAGTATGTTTAAGCATTAAAAGAAGGGATTATACCCAAGTTGAAATGAATTTATTTTGGAATCATATGATTAGAAATGATTGTTTGTCCTCATTCTTAGTATTAGTTAGTATTTTCATATTCATCATCTGTCGTGACACTCGAATACACCAGTCAGGGTCACCCCAGGTGAACTGGGCTGGCACACAGAGACAAATACCATTTTCCTTGGGTTTTATGACGGTCCCTGTGACCCAGCTCCCACAGAGGAGGCAAGGCAGGCCAGAAAGAGAAGGAGCACGCCTCGAATCTGAATTTTATTAATGGGGGGAGCTAATCCATAGAACATTCAAAAGGGTAGGATTACAACAAACAGGTGGGTGTAATTCAACCCCATTGGGTGTCACCCACTCCCAGAGCTGCATGTTTCTTATTCCAGCGGAATAGGTGCAATACCAGGGTGCAATACCAATCCACGAACTCTTTACTCTGGACTTAGCTCCTGTGCATAGCTCCTGTCCAGGGCAGCCCCCAACAATTATCTAATTGCCATGTATGTCAGCTTTCCATTATTACAACAAATACCTAAGATAAAGTGGTAAAGAGGAAGGTCTATTTTGACTCATATTTTTGGAGGCTTTAGCCCTTGGTTGGTTGACCCCATTGCTTTTGGGCCTGTGGCAAGGCAGAACCTTGGGGTAGGGAGTGCATGGTGGAGCAAAACTCTACTCATCTCATGGCCAAGACACAAAAAGAGAAAGAGGATGAGCTGGGAACCCCCATTCTCTTCAAGAGCAAACCCCCAATGGCCTATCTTCCTTCCACTAGGCCCCACCTTTATAGGTTCTACTGCCCCCCCTTAGAGCCACAGGCCAGGGACACAGAGACCTGTGGAGGCATTCCAGATCTAAATGGGAGCACTGAGAACAAGTTGCCCCAAATTTAGTAACATCAACAATTCATAAAAACCTTTCCTTTTCCTCGCTGTTTCTGTGGGTTAGAACTTTGGGACAACTTGACTGCATAGTTCTTTGCCTGAGATTCTCCTTCAGATCCGTCAGCTGTCAGCCAGGGCTGCAGTGACTGAAGGCTTAACTGGGTCTGAAAGACCCACTGTCAGCACGTCTCACTCAGATGGCAGCAAGCCAGGTCCCTTTCATGGTTGTGCTTGAACATCCTCATAGCACAGCAGCTGACCTCCCCTGTGACTTTTCATGACCTAGCCTAAAGTGTCACACACTGCTACTTCTGCAATGTCCCACCAGTCACACAGACTTCCCAAGGGAATGAATTCCAGGACGTGAGCATCGTCTAGGACATTGACTACCATGGTTTCACACTTTGTAAATAAACTAAAGTGGAATAACGTTGAATCAGGATGAGAAGTGTAGATTTGGGAACAAGACTGTATAGTTCAAACCCAAATTCATAAGACTCATTATCGTTTGATCAAGTATTAAGATGGATAAAAGTCTATTAATAAGTTAGTATACATAAAACTCTAGAATTCCACCAACCTCATGGCGAGGGCCACATGGGTATTAACACAATTACTTACTATTTTTAACATCAGAGAACAGGGCTTGGGATGTGCTCAATGGTGGAGCATTTACCTAGTAAGTGTGAGGCTCTGGGTTTGATCCCTAGCACCTAAAAAAAATAAATAAACAAATTTTTGAAAAATAATAAAATGAATTGATTATGAGAAAAATAATTTGTTTTTCTTATTTTTTTTGTGTGTCAAACAGGTAATGTGCTGACATCATAGCAGGTTTGATGGAGACACGTCTCTTACAGTGGTGAGAAAAAGCAATCATGCCTAGGGACCACAAAAGCATCTGGCAATAATAATTTAAAAGTTGGTTGTATAGTATCATTCTTGTTATGTAAAAATAAATCTATACATCCATACTGTTTGAGTCAGCTTTTTCACTACTGTGACTAAATAGACCAGCCCAATTGTAGAGGAGAAAAGTTTATTTGAGGGCTCATAGTTTCAGAGGTCTCAGTCCATAGTCAGCCAGCTCCATTCCTTGGGCTCAAGGTGAAGCAGAACATCATGGTGGAAGAGTCAGCTCACTTGATGATCAGGAAGCAGAGAGAAAGAGAGAGAGAGAGAGACTCCACTTGCTAGATACAAATATGTATCTTAAAACCAGGCCCTCAATGCCTCACCTCCTCCAGCCATACCCTACCTACCTTTAATTATCACTCAATTCATCCCATCAGGTGATTAATTCACTGATTATGTTGAGGCTCTCATAATCGAATCATTTCCCCTCTGAATGATCTCATGTTACCTCACACATGAGATCTGGGGGGATACTTCACATGGAAACCATAACACATACAAAGGAAATTCACCATTACATTAATGTCATTTACCTCTGGGTTATGGGATTATAAGGTATGGCTTTTTTTTTTTTTTTTTTTTTTTTGTCTTTCTACTTTTGTGATAGTGATGCTTTCTATAGATTTACCATTAATTTAAAATCAGAAAATAAATAAATTTGTAAACATTTATTGCACAATATTAAATACTCATTTAATTGTCTAGCTACCTTGAAAATGACCTACTTAATAAGGTAAATTCTAGTCCCCCATCTCAGACTTGAAATAAGGAGCCCAAAGCTAACAACAGCAAAAAAAAAAAAACAAAAAAAAAAAAACTGAACTTCACCCACAGTTTGGTTGTGTCATTTTCCCATCAAGCTAAGTGTATACTATCCTGAAATGGCTCACAGCAAAATACAGTTCAGTAAATATTTATGGTGCCCCAATAGTGTGCTAAGTACAGTAGTGGGCATTTGAGAGAAATAAGCCATGCTCTTTATTTTAATATTTGTCAGAGAGAGTTTGATGCTGTGAGGTTTGTGATTCTCTGTGCCTTTAGTTTTTTACACTCAATCCTGAAGAGGTTGTCCCACTTTCTCAAAAGCTGATTTTGCCCTATAGCTAGCCATCCTTCAGCAAAGCCAGATAAGGTAACAGATAGGTAAAGTTTGTCCAGTATCCAAGCTGAACACAGGATAGGAACCATGTGGGCCAGATGGTCAGGATCAGATCCAGAGGGTGTGGGCTTCCACGTGGAGGGTGGTTCTGTTTGGCACCGTGTGGCTTAACTTTCCATTTTCTGCTCTCTTACCAAGAAAAAAGATATCATGCTGGGGATGTTGCTCAATAGTAGTGTTTGTCTAGAATGAATGAGGCCCCAAGTTTGACCCTTAGCACCACAAAAACAAAACAAAAACAAAAAACAACAAAACAGAAACAAAGCCCAAGATTTTGATCTACTTCTATGATAAATCGAGACAGTCAAATATTTATCTTTGTTTAAAAACATCTCTCCAGCTGAGGGTGTAGCTCTGTGGTAGAGCACTCGTGTTGCTCTAGATTCCAATTTTAATTTAATTCAAATAAAACAAAATAGATTTCTTTTTAAAATAAAGCTGCTCTGGAATATGTGAGTTTTGCAGAAAAGTTGTAAATATAGTAGGCAGAGTTCTCATATACCTCCCATGCAGTTTCCACTAAAGTTAAAATCTTTCACAACCATTGGAACATTTGTCAAAAACAACTCAACTCAGGCATTCTTTTGATTTCTCCAGCTTTTCCACTGATGTCCTTCTCCTATCCCAGGAGCCCATTCAGAATCCTTAGTCACCTCCAACCTTTGACAGCTTCTCAGTCTTTTCTTAGTTATCACAGATGCTACTCAAGTATTTTGTGAATGTTCCTCGGTGTGCTTAGCATTTTCTCACAATTAGGCTGAGATTATGGGGGTTAAGGAAGAATTCCCAAAGATGAAGCACCCAAGAGGAAGCTTTTAAAGCTTCCTCAACGCCTTTGATGTATATGCATTGTGAATTTTCAAATGGTAAAGGTATTTCTTGTGGAATAAATTTCAAGAGGGGGAAAAAAATGTCCAAGTGCATTTCCCCTTGATCTCTTATAGGTGATTATCTCAATCGTATTTTCTAATCAGGTGACTGAGTTTGTCCTCAACATTTTAAAGCGGACTCAGCAATAAGAGACTTATGGTTTGGATCTGGAATGTCTCTGAAAAGTTTGTGTTGAAGTCTCGACCCCCAGTGTAGCAATGTCCAGAGGGGGGCTTCAGGGAAATGACCTGATCAAGAGAGCTCTGATCTCACCAGTGGATTAACCCATTGACTGAATGGATTGCTGAGAGGTGGTGGAAACTGTCAGCAAGAGGGCATGGTTGGAGGAAGTAGTCACTGGGGTTGTGCCCTTGGAGACTATTTCTGTGTCTGGCCCCTTCCTCTCTGTCTCTCTCTATCCCCAGCTCCCATAAGCTGAGCCCCTTTCCTCCACCATGCTCTTCCATCATGGTGCTCTGTCTTACTTCAGGCCCAAAGTAAGTGGAACCAACTGACCACGGATTGAAGCCTCTGAAACTGGGAGTCCAAATAAACCTTGCCTTCTCCAAGTTAGTTGGGTCATAGCAACAAAAAAAGCTGCCCAACACAGAGTCTTTGACCTTCTTTCTTAGCTGAATACTCCCTGTTAACTAGAAGCAGTGTAGGAGCTGGAGTCACAAAGATGATTAATATGGGCCTCTAGCTCCCTTTAGATGGATTGATAAAGTGTTGCACACTGATCTAAAATAATTTGGTTTCAAGGTCCTTTTGGCAGATGGCAGTACCTGGAAGGGTACAGATGCCTCCTGCCCAACCACTGGCCTACCAGGTGTCACATTAAAATGAGAGCAAGAAGCTGGGGTGTAGCTCAGTGGTAGAGCTCTTGCCTAGTGTGTGTGAGACCCTGGGTTGGAGCGCCAGCACTGCAAAAAGAGAGGGGTGGGGAGAAAGAGAGAGAGAGAGAGAAAACACCTTTCTCTTTGGCCACATTTTGCAATATGAATCAACTTTTATTAGAAAGCAAGTAAAAAAATCCCAACCCTCTGACCCCTTCTGTGATTTTGGTGGAATTCTGCTCTCTTTTCTTTCAGACACTGCAACAAACAAGCTGCAAGAAAGTTTCCCTACTGTGACTGTGTCCCAACAATAGAGCAACTGAATCAAAGACAGAATCCTCCAGGGAGTGGGGTTTAGCTCTCAGGTGCTTTCTATTCTACCCATGAAGGCCAGAGATGCCAACCATATATGTTGAACCCCAATTGTTCTCTAGGTGAAAAATCCGTTTACATATCCCTTACCCAAGAGCAGATTTAGATGTAGGTATTTTAAGTTGCTGAAGTCCCTCTGGGCTGTGGACTCCTGCCAGAATTCTCAGATATTCACCAACCACCCCTGGTATATCAGTTTCTGATTAAGAGATTTTAAATACTAACTAGAAGCTTTAAGTGGAGATAAAAATTAATTTACCTGCACATATTATTTTGTGAGGGAAAGCAGAACAGTATGAATGAACTAATTAGAATATAGTGTGAGAGGAGCAGATCAAGACCTGGAGCCTCGGGTGGGTTTCTGGAGATGGCCATCTTACATGGAACTGCAGAGAAGGGATATTTATTAGGAACCAAAAGGAGATGGGGTTTCAGGTAGAGAGAGCAGCTGAGAAAGGCCTGGGAGGCAGGAGAGAGTTGGGTATACATGTGGATTGGGATCCGAGGTGCAGGGCCAGTGAGAATGGAGATTGGAAAGGGAATGGGGAGATCCTCTTGAGAGTCACACCAGACTGAGGAATGAGGATTTGATCCCGTGGGAAACAGCCGTTAGAAAATTTTAAGTAGCGTTCAAAGTGCACGGTCAGTTTGGGATTTTGAAATATCTCTAGCAGTCACACAGAGGAAAGGAGAGAGGGAGAGGGAACTGGAATTATGGCAGAGAATTAGAAGTTGCTTTTCCTAAATTGCACTCTCTTCCCTTGGGGTTGCAGAAGCCCAATGGGTAACTAAAAGCAGGATAAAGCCGGACACCTCTACCTTCATTTTGTATCTGTCTTCAAATTCCTCTCAGCTCTGCACATGGGTATGTTAATCATGTTAAGGTATGTTCATCTAAAAACTGGTAATACAAGATTTATTTGCCCTAAATTTACCTAATCTATCTGGTCCCCTTTAAGACTGAGAACACAAAGTTAAGAGTAGGTAAGATATTTTTAAGATTTACAGAGAAATTCAATGGTCAAATTTTATTGCTTCCTGTTCCAGACCATAGAGTGGGGCCCAGAAGTCTCCAGGCATTGCCCTACAGATTCCTGGAATACTAGAACCTTGCAGCAGATCACCTCATGATGAGACTGTCCCTCTAGGCAGGAACAATTGTCTCTTGGGGACTTGATTTCCACCTCCAGGATCACAGGACTGTATCTATCAAGATACACATCCTGAGCAGCAAATGGAGATTGTCCCCTCAAGTGATAAGGACTTCTCTAGAGCCACCTCACCAAACCAGAACTGCGATAATGATCAACCAGACCACAGTTTGACCCAGACCATTCAGTTATGTATACCTCACCCATTGCCCCAATTCTTCTTCTCTTTAAACCCCAAACTCATATCTGTGTCCCAAGACAAGGCTGAGATGCTTGATCTCACTTTACCTTCCCAAATGGACATATTGGTTAAAGTTCCTTTCTTGCTTTACATCATTATTTTTCTGTTTGGTTTGCAGGACAAGTGGCTGGGCCTGCTTTGTTGAAACCTCCAGGGTCGGACCTCGGAGCTGGAACTCCAATAGCAGAATCAGGGTGAGCAGTTGGAACTCACTGTAATCTAGTGAGACAGAAAGATAGACCACCCATAGGCAACCAGGAAATAGGTCTTGGAAAAGAAAAGGAGGAAGAGAAAATTGGGAAATCAGACTTCTGACCCCAGCTGCTCCAAGCCACAAGGACAGTTCCCCTAGACAAT